TTAAATGTTTGTACAGAATTGTTTTTCATTCTGTGAAAATTAGAGTTCTGTATGAAACTGGAAGAACTCTGGATACTTTTATATATAAGTTCTCTTTTAATTAAAAAAATGGTTAAAATTATCTAACACTAAAGTGTTAAACTGGAATGGTTGACAACATATACAGGATAGGTCTACATGTTGAGGGGTTGGGGGAAATGCAATATTGTCCTAGGTTTATTTTATTTTCCTTACTAAAAAATACCCCACAGAAGGAATTCTGATCAGTTCTCTGCCATTTCCCTCCATTTGTGAGATAATGTTTGGTATAACCACACCCCAAAACAGATGTTCTGTATTACCAGAAGAATCAAAATTTGTGTAAAGCCAAAATAAGTTTAGATTTCACAATCATTCCAGCTCTGCTTTTAACTATTCTGGATTTTGTTAGAAAAATAATTTGAAAGAGAATTGTCCTAAAATTCCATATATATATATATATATATATATATATATATAGTATGAATTCTCTTTAATGGTATTCAGAATTTATTTTAATAACTGATTTGGACCATTTTGAACATTCCCTATTTTGAAATTCACATGGCTTCCTTTAAAAAAGGATGTAAGGGTAAATTGGTGAAGTTTGCTCTCTGCATTTTCTAACTTTCTGAGTTGTGACTGAATGAGAGAGCTCTAGCGTTTACCAGTGAGGTTCATAAACTAAACTCTCAGGAATTAATAGCATCAGTTCTAGAAGTGCTTCTGGGTCTTAGCCTGACCTCTTCAGAGTGGTAATATTGACCATCTCCTCTGGAATATAGGTAGGGCTAATTAGAAATTAATCAAAATGATTAACCTCTACAGTCCTTCAGCCTATGGAATGCTTTAAAATATGTTAATGGAAAGCCCCAGGAGACCATTTTAGGTAAGATTTTTGTTTGAATTTTAAAATGCGTAGAACGTTAAAAACCAGCAATTTATTTTCTAAAATATTGCTCTACTTTTGGGAATAATAGCATTGGTAATACGCACAGGTTTACCTCATTCTATGCAAGAGGGGTTAATAACATAAGGTTTTGTAGTTGCTACTGGAAGTAAAATTTGTTATTTTATAGTGTAAGAATGTATGGAATCGCATGTCAACATTTCTTAGTACTGACTCTTTAGGGGCATAAATGTAGATCATATCAACGCCAAGTTGATTTCTCATGTGTCAAATATATGTGAATTCAGCTGTTAAATTACTGGATATTTATCTTAAACAATATTACTGAGAGGGACCTACTGTAAATGTGACATCCTCACACTTCCCAAATCTTTAACTTTTAAGAATCTTCCCGTAAACTTAAAACCTAGAAGACTTCCAAAGCAAGGGTCACAGCAGTCTTTATTCTCAGGCTCAGTGAATTAAACCCAAGACTGATTCCATTGACATGGGCACTAGAAGCCAGTTGTATGGCGTGCTCTACCAATTCCTTGGGCTTAGGGGCTTGATGAGGAACTGAATAAACCAGGAGGGGTTTGATTTGGAGCCTGGTAATTAGTTCTGTGAAATACTTATTTGTAGCCAAGTTTTATAAGCTTCCGATTCTAGAGTAAAACCAGGCTCTGTGTATTTTCAAGTTTCCCAGCTATTCATGAAGTGTTTGTCTTGATCCCGTCACCAACAGTTAAAGGTTGGGCAGGACTTCCTACTATCTGAACACAATCTCAAGCCCTCTTCATCATTCAGACTCTTAACTCCTACTGCTGATGAACGGTAAATAAATTAATGCAGAGGAGATTTATGTCTCAGCCATAACTCCAACTGTACAACTCAACAGCAGCCCCATTCTCTTATGGTTATTCAAAATGTACTGCTGACCTTGGGTTTGTTTTTGGTTTTTTTCCTGTTAGGGTTATTTGGGTTTTTGTTTTTTGTTTTTTTGGTAGTTAAAAATCTTTAACCTTTTCCTTGCTATGTATGAGGAAAGCTCAAGCTGTTATCAACTTCTTATTCTACGGATACTAACACGGGTTTTCAGTGTTTGTTTGTTTTTATTATTATTAATTTTGCGTGATGTGAATACCCTCTCCCATCAATATTTGTATTATGGTGCTATATATTTGGTAATGATCCTTTACTATTGGGAAGGGATTTTAAAAATACTGTGATTAAACTGGGTTTCTTCCTTTGATTTTCATATTTTAAATAAAGCCACAGTCATTTATACAAATGAAAAGCATCTGTCCCTGGGCAAATCTTTTGAGGACAGAGGTCAAAGTAAACTGCATAAGGTTTTTACATCATTTCTGTATGTATTTGATATATAGATCAATATCTGTACAAATTTAATCTTTTATTTTCTTGGTAACTTGTGATCATTGAGAAAGTCTTTGAAACTTTCTCATGAAGTGTATATAATGCGTGAAAAATTCCTTTGGAGAAATTTGTTCTTTTCATTTTTACCAAACTGCAGATTTTCAGCATGGATGTGAAAAGCATTAAAATTATAACTTTGTGTACAAGATGAAAGTAATTCACTAAATTTGCCTTTTTTTACACAAAATAAAATGTTAAAGTTAAGTTGTATTTGAGCAATTTTTAACATGCTTTGGTCTTTAAGGGGATTTTTTATTCAGAATGTCGAGTGTCTTCTGTAAGCAATCAGAGGTCCCTGTGGAGTCCAGTCAGTTCCTTCTTCAAGGAACTGTAATCTATTATGGGAAAGAAAGCACATGAGTGAGGAAGAATTTCCTACTAGCTGATAGGGAGGAAAAGAATATTGGGGGGTGGGAGGGTGGCGCTACTAGGGTATGATTGGAGTGGAGATTTCAGCAACAGAGGGAAAAAGCAAAACCATAGCAAGGGGGCAAGGGTGAGTGTTGCCCACTTATGGGTAAATTAAGACACTTTAGCTGTTAGAACAAGGTGTTACAGATTTGGCATCTCGCCACTAAGGGACTTTTTTTTAAGCTTCAATGACCTGAGCAGCAGAGGGATTCATAGGATATAGATGTTATCCTAGGTAGCACTTGTTCACATTAAGAGGGAATTCAAAGTCCTCCTTTAGCAACAACAGACTCTCTGGAAAACTTTTGACTACAAAAGCAATTCATAGATAGTTCTGTGGATATAAGATAGTAATGAGGATGAATTGGGTCTTTTCAGTCATTAATTTCATTATGCTTCAGAAAAATATAGCACATTCCAAGAACAACAAAAGTGGAAACTAATTTCTGCCCTACTTTCTGTTTAAATGACAAACCATTGCCCCAAGTTGGAATTCCCAGGTTAACTATCATTTGCTATATCATGTTTTGCTATTTATTTCTACATCTCTCAAATCATTTTAAGTCATTAACGCTAGTTGGAAATATTTAAGAGTAACAGTATATTTAAGAGTAACAGAGTATTTGAGTAACAGTATTTCCCCCAAGCAAGTCACATTTTAGCATCATTTCAAACCCTATGAGGTAGGGAAACAGTTAAATATTTACTTTTTACAGATTTTTACTGAGACTTTTACCCTTTTTAGCAGTTAAGAATTCCAAGCAGGGGCCTCCCAAATGGTGCAGCAGTTGAGCGCTGGGTTGCGAAGCTGCCTGCAGCCTCTGCAGCGCTGGTTCGATCCCCGGCTGCTCCCCAGCCACTGGAGGAGGGTCCCGTATGGCACGCAGACCTCTCCTGCTGCCCCCTGCTCCCCTCAGCAGTGTACTTCGGTCCTTCTGCCTGCTCTGCTCCCGCTCTGGCTCTGGTGAATTCTCTCACCCTCCCGCGCTTCTGACTGTACCCAGTGCTTGTATGTATAAATAAATAGATAAATAAATAAATAAATATTAAAAATGTTTAAAAAAAAGAATTCCAAGCAGGCCAAAACAATTATGTAAACAGTGACATATTTATTATGTATTCAAAAAGTTACTGAAAGCAACAGAAGATTCTGAATAAATGGTCAACTTTCACACACCCATCTGGTATAGAGGATTAGGTCCAAACCAAAGTTTACCCCAGACTATACCTTTAATTTTGCCCGTCTATACCTTTTTCATTCAAGTCTGCCAAATTCTTTCTCTCAGCTCTTGCCACTCCAGACTTGACTGCACCTAAACTCACGAATTTGACCTGTCACTTGGAGACTATAAGGAAGTAAGGCACAATGACCAAGTGCTTGGAGTCTGAAGACAGCTGCTCAGATGAGAGTAGCTTCTTTACCTATTAGAACTTTACCTGTTAGAACTTGAAGATAAAATGAATTCATGCATGTGATTTACCCACAACAACCCTGCCTCAGGGTAAGCCTGTATTTTGCTGCTGTTATCACCCAGGGACCTCAGCCAGTGTGCATAGAATCACCAGAGAGCCCAGTGAATGCAGAGCCCCAAGAGCCTAGAACTTTAATGATCAAACTTTTAAACTGGTGAAAGCATGTAGCATGTAAACATGAGATTAAATTTGAAGTTGAAAAATTGAGAATTGTTATATTTCTTATCAACTGACTTGACACTAGAATTTTGAGTTTTTGTGCCAAGCTGTTAAACTGTGCCATTGTCTTGTAGCATAAAAAAAGGTAATAATCTGGGCCTCCCTAGTGGAACAGGGGTTAAAGTCAGAGCTAACAAATTATCGCCATCTCTGGCCAGGAAGCTAACCCACATGGCGCAGCAGACCTCTTTTGCCTCTCCCTCTGCTCCCCTCAGCAGTAGTGTTTCAGTAGATCCACCTATTCTGCCCAACAATGTAACTCTGGACAACCTGACTAGCCTTAATTCTCTATCAAGTACTAGCAAATTCTGTATACAGAAATGCACGTTACAGTATCAGCTAAAGCAGGTGTGATAATTATTATGTGCATTATTTTCTTACTAGTTTTCATAGGTACACAGCCATTGCCACACTTGCCCTCTTCAGCCTCACTCCTCTTCCTCCCTCAAGTCTTGAAATACACCCAGAAAAGGAGAAGGGTCAGACCAGGCTTCTATAGTAGCAGGATGAGTTAGTTCTAGAATGCCGCGACAGCTAGGGAACCAAGTCACTTCCAGTTTAGAATCAAATAAGCACAGGAGGCTGCACCCAGTTTCCAAAAGCTTTATTGGTAAATATGCTTAAGAAAAGATAGATCCTATTGCTTCCAAGCAAAATGAAGAGCTGTGTCCAGGGACGCTCCAGGGACTTTGTCTACCTCTCATTCATAGATCCAGTTAAAAGCACAGGACTTGTAGCTCACCAATTCTTCGGGCTTAAACCATAGGCTGATTTCTTTCTCAGCACTTTTTACTGAATCACTGCCATGAATGATGTTCCTAAGAAAGAGGACAATTTACTAGTCATCACATTTTAAAGTGCGAAAGTCTATTTAATGGATAAACCAAAGAACAGCCACTGTAGACCTTTTCAGTGAAACTGCCACTTGAAAGCAGATGACCCCCAAAAGTATTTCCTCATAAAAGCAACTACAAAAGTACTTGATCAAAAACATTCCTTATCGCTTCTCGGCCTTTTGGCTAAGATCAAGTGCAAAAACATTCCTTGGTTCAACTTAATTATGCTTCCAAGTTTTCTCCCTTCAAAACAGTCCCCAAGACTGCTGAGTCATAAAACATTTCCTTCTCAAATTATGAAAAACAGAGGAATCGCCAAACAAACCCAGACCAAAACCCAAACCTGAGGTGATACATCCATGTTCAAAATTTCCTTACCAGGGTCCTTCCTGGTGGCCTAGGGGTTAAGGCTTAGCACTATCACCACTGCAACAGGAGTTCAATCCCCAGCCAGGGAGTTGACCCATGTGGTGCGCAGAGCTCTACTGCCTTGTCCGCTGCTCCCCTCAGCTGATTTCAGTATATCCACCTATTCTGCTCCCCACTCTGTCTCTGGTGAGTCCTCTTACCCCCTGCACCTCTGGCCTACACCCCAGTTCTTGTAAGCATAAATCAATAAAAACAAACCTTTAAAAAAAAATAACATATGGATTCCAGGAAGTGTCCCACAGGACTTACCTGCCAACCTGAATGCAGAAGTCCCCACGAATGGTGCCAGGCTTGGAGTCTGCTGGGTTGGTCTCCCCAAGCATCACTCGGCCGGTCTTCACAACATTCAGGCCCTCCCAGACCTGGACAGTAATGAAAAGTAGATCTGACATCCAGGGCGAGTAGAGACAAACATTCTCCCCTACCTAACACAATCAGACCTATCGGCCACTTGATTTTCAGCTAACCCACAGGAGATAGTAAGGGCCTATATTAAAAAAACGCCGTAAGTCAATCCAACTTTCCAGTACCACTCAGACAAAGATAAACAAGACTGAAGAATTCTTATGTGGCCACAAACACTGAAAAGAAATAGCGATGAGACAGAAGTGATTGGACAGGAATAGGATCACTGGAAAGAAGATCCCAAAAGCCTTACAACTGATATGCAAGGTGAAAGTACACTCCAGGGGAGCATCCATGGTGGCACAAGGTTTAAGTCAGCACTATGAAGCTATCGGCAGCCACTGCAGCATGAGTTCAATCCCCGGCCAGGGAGCTGACCCACATGGCGCAGCAGACCTCTCCTGTCTCACCCGCTGCTCCCCTCAGCAGTGTACTTCAGTAGATCCGCCTGTTCTGTTCCCCACTCTGTCTCTGGTGAATCCTCTCACCCCCCGCACCACCTCTAGCCTGTACCCCAGCTCTTGTATGCATAAATAAATATTTAAAAATAAATAATAAATAAATAAACACCTGTTAGACAACCAAGGAAATCTTTTATGTTTCACAGTGAGACTAAACCCCAGAGGATTTGCCTTAAAGTGTCCTTATTTTTCTAAGGTCTGATTCCCTCCTGTTCCCTCCCCCCAACCCCCACATCCCTAGTTGCTCTGTTAACTCATTCCTGCAGGCTATATTTTTAAAAGGAATTTGGAAGGGCTTGGAAAGAGGTCTAAAAAAGGCACACTGGGGCACTGACCAACCCCAGTTATACACCAGCCCTTGCTTCCCTCCATGTTTCCCTCTATTTCCCTTCGGCTAAGCACTTGCCATTGCCACAACCGGCCCGGAGTTCATGTACTTCACCAGCCCCGGGAAAAAAGGGCGGTCTTTCAGGTCTATGTAGTGCTGCTTCAGGAGTTCCTCAGAGGCCTGGCATTTAAGAAGAAATAGCAGTCAGGAAGTAAACTGAAAAGGCTAATCCCATCCTGAGAATCCCCTGCAGATTCTCTAAAAACCCAGTTACCTACTTAGCTCACATTCCTAAGATGTGTATAAAAAAAATCCCAAACATGAATCTAAGTCTAGTGTAGCAGAAAAAAATGTTTCTAACCATGCGGGTACTCTGACAACGTGAATAACGTCGTGGATGTTATAATCCTAAAAAATAGGTGGTTTGAGGATCTAGATTTAGGGAGTTTAAGGAAACATGCCAGGCAGAAGTCATATCAAGCCTCTGGCCTGTTCACACAAACCCCTTTAAAACATTTCCAGTATTACACAAACATTGTCTTTACTGATTAGCTTGGTTAAAATTTATCCCTTCAGGTCATAGGCTCCAAATTGCATGTGAAAATGCAGTTGCCGCCAGAAGCCAAAAGGCAGAGCTGGGCAGAGAAAGGAAGACCCATCTCGAAGCTCATCGTCTGGGCGCAGCAAGCTAACGCCAAAGGGATTCCAAACCTCCAGGCCGGGCTTCCCCGCCCCGCGGGGGCCAGGGAGAGGGCCCGGGGGCGCAGGCTCCCTCCAGCCCCTGCTGCCCCCCTGCGGCCGGCGGGCAGGTGTCGGCCCGCGCCGGGCGCAGGAAGCCGTCCCGGAGCGGGGGTCACCTTCCCCGCCTCACCTTCCCAAGGGCGTCTGTCCTCCGGCCTCAGACAAGGGTCCACGGGGCCAGAGGAGCCCTGAGGCGGGGGCGCCGGTCACAGGGACCCTTGCCGGGGCGAAATCGGTACAAAGGGCCTCCGACTCGGAGGAGAGAGGCGCACAGGGCGCCCCCAGCGAGGGAGAAACCCGCGACTCGCTGGGAGGGGGGACGGCGGCACCTGGAGGAACTTCATGGCCACGAGGCGGAACCCCTTCTGCTCGAAGCGTTTGATGATCTCGCCCACCAGGCCGCGCTGCACGCCGTCCGGCTTGATGGCGATGAAGGTGCGCTCGGCGTTGGCCATGGTCCTGCGGGCGAGAGGCCGGGTCAGGCCGCGCGGGCCCCGACCCCCGGCCCGGGGCACCACGTGAGCGCCCGGGGCCGCCCGCCCGCCCCGCCCGCCCGCCGGCCGCGCCCGGCGCCGCGGGGACACGTGGCATCCCGGGCCCGGGGCCACCGGCCGGCAGCTGCCCCGCCTGCCCGCGGGTGGGACGCGGCCGGGGCCCCGGGGCGCGCAGAGCGCACAGCCGGCTCCGGCCCCGCACAGCGAGCGGGCGTGCGCGCCCGACCCCGACCCGCCCGACTCGGCCCGCGGGAGCGGGGCCGGGGCCGGGAGGGGACGCGCCCGCGCCGCCTTACCGAGGGGCCGGCGGGGCCTGGCGGAGGCTGCGCTGCGGGCCGGGGAAGGAGCGGAGATCTGCAGCGACCACCGGTGCCGGGAGCCGCCCGCGGAGGAGGGGCGCGCGGCGGCCACACCCCGGAGGTCCAGGCGGCCCAACCCGCGAGGCCGGACGCTGCGGAGGACTTTGTCCACGCCCCGGGTTTGCAGAAAAGGCTGGAGGCAAGTGAGGGCTCGGGGCAGGAAGTGGCTGCTTCTTCACCTCCTGTCCCACAAGTAAAACTGTGCACCTGCCAAATCCACCTCCTCGCTTCAGTGTAATTGCGCACACACTCACGCGCTCTCTCTCTCTCTCTCTCTCTCTCTCTCTCACACACACACACACACACACACACACACACACACACCTCCCCAACCCCATCCCCGCTCCTGGTCTGGAGTTCTTTACCCAGGTCCATACCCTCTGCCTTCCCATCCCCCGGAGCACCAGAGTTAGGTTTCTCTCCTCCCTGTCAGGCACCTACGAGTCCTTCCCACCTATGAAATCCAGTGTTCGCTTCCCCTCCCCCTCCTCCCTTAAGCCCTGGGCCAAGCCCTCGCCCACCCTCAACCAAACTGCCACCCAGACCCCCCGCAGCTGCACCTTTCCCTGCACCTCTCCGCGCCGAGCTCACACCCCCATCTGACTTTCAGCCCCGCTTTGATGACAGGCCCTGCCCCGCGGCTGGCATTCGAAAGGCAGATGGCAAGTTACCCCAGGCTTTTCACAGCCTGCCCTGCGCCCTCCCTGCCTGTCTCCCCAGACACCTTTCCAGCCACGACTGCTGCCCTGTCCACACCCCGAGATAATCTCTTCCCACCCAGGAGGGTGCGCTCAGCTTATCCAACTCAACCTGACACACCCTAGTCAAGATTCTAGATTCTCATGAAAACCGTCTGTCGGGGGTGAAAGTGGATGGGGAGAGTTCTTTTGGGGTGACACAGAAGCAGGTCCCAGATCCAGAGCCCTATGTGGATGAGACCTTCATCTCTAGAGCCTTTGCACCATGAGGGAGACCCTGATGAGGATCGTATTTATGCGAATCTGCCTCACTAGAATTCCAGGTAGCTACAGCTTTGTAGAATTTGGGTATTTGACCACAGCTGAGAAAAGTTTGCATAAAATTAAGGGGAAACCTCTTCCCGGAGCCACAACAGCAAACATTTTTAAGCTGATCTATGTCATTTATGGAAAACAACCAGATGACAGCCCTGAGTACTCCATTTTTGGGGGACCTGACCCCTGATGGGGATGACGGCATGCCATTTGAATTCATCAGTCTACCATTCTTCCCCTTCTGTCCTGGAGGCACGGTGGATGGGGAGCAGATAGGCATGTCTTGCAAAATTCACAGAACTGGAACAGAAGCGATCCCTGATGGTGCCAGGGAGCAGTGGGACTGGGGTCAAAACCAGTGGGACTGAGCGTGGCAATCTCGAAAGCAAGCCGTGTAAAACCAGTGGACTGTAATCGGCTGTGGTGGAAGCTACCCACAGTACTACCAGCAGTACTAGAACCACTATGCCCAGTGAGGCTATGACCAGACACGGGCAGCTCCAGCTTCCTTAGCATGGCGACATCCAGATCACCATGTAGACCTATGAAGTCGGAGATGATGTTGCTCTGGAAAACCCCACACCACAACTGAGTGTGACTGAGGCCAATAAAGAGTTCACGGAGCAAAGTGAGGAGCTGTACGATGTGTTGATGGATCGTCCCTGGCAAGCCCTGGACAATCTTCACAGTTGCAGCCAAGACAAAAGATATGTTTTGAAATGTCTTCTAAGATTTTAACAATCAACTCTTTCCTGAGATTGATATTCCTGCAGCACTGCTGCCTTCATTTGATAGTGAGCCATTTGATTTTGAAAATTCCCTCTTTGGTGGTGCCCAACTTCCCTTGTGGTGTCAGCCCGCATCTCCCCACAGTCCTCACAGCCATCCTGCAATGTGTGTGCCCCAAGATGGTCTGAACTGTCTGCCTCTGCTCAGGATAGTAAGCTGTCAGGATGGCCTGGGCAATCACATGGCACAGCCCTAGTGGCCGTGGCACTGCACTGATGACCTGTCACTCTTAGATGACAATCCGGGCCTCTACTACCCTTTGTTGTTTTTCCAAACTTCTACCCTCAGCATTATTCCATGATACACTGGCAATCCTCATTCTGGCGCTGGGACACCCAATGTTCCCTTTGGCTTCAATCTGAAGCACACTCATTTTGGATGCCCTTTCAGAGCTACAAAACCTCCATTATGGGGCTCCCTGGGAATCTCACTGGAAATTTCTTCTAAGCACTACATGCCTTATGGTTCAGCTACTGTTCCTCCTTGAGGGACAATCAGTAGCAGCCCCCCTCTTTCATCTCTCCTTCCCTTCCTCAATGGTCCTTAACAGGGAAGGTACAAATATCCCCCTGCTGCCTCACTATACATATATTCATTCCCCAAAAGTTTGGCACTCTTACCCCCCAAAATAAACAGGTTTGCAGCTTCTGCAGCGCCGGTTCGATCCCCGGCCACCGGGTGAGGGTCCCACATGGTGCGCAGACCTCTCCTGCCGCCCACTGCTCCCCTCAGCAGTGTACTTCATCAGTCTGCCTGTTCTGCTCCCTGCTGTCTCTGGTGAATCCTCTCACCCTCCCGTGCTTCTGATTGTACCCAGTGCTTGTATAAATAATAAATAAATCTTTAAAAAAAAAAAAAAGAAATGCATTTAGACTTCAGCTGCCCCCTCCCCAAAGAGGTAGCTCCGGATGGGAGGACTCCTTCCACAATTACAGGTCTATGAAAGCATCACACTGTATACTTAAGATATCTTTACAATTTCATTTCCCAATTATACCACAATAAAGCTAAAAAAAAAAAAATGTTAGTCCCATGCCACCCGCCTCTTCCAGCTCCTTCCTCGGAAGTTGCTCACCTTAATTGCTTTTCCCAAAGCCAGGTAAATAGGGAAAATACCAAGAAAAAAAACCTACTATAGTTTGTGGCAAAAATCAACTTGGGAATACCTATTCTCACATTCTCCAGCCTCACACAATTCATGAGTTTCATCCAGGCACAAGGTTACCCAAATAAAGAGAACATTTTCTAGTTTCTCTTGCAATTAGACACAGCCAGCCACAAGAGTAAGTTCCGGCCATTATGATGTGAGGGGGAGCGAAGGTGGTAAATTCAAAGTTGTGCCCTTAAAAGAAACACTCTCACTTTCCTTCCCAACTTGCAGGATTGGCAGAGGAAACCGAGGCCCCTCCAACCTCAAGAATCAGTCTTACCACCATCACCACCCTTACGTAGCCCCTTGGACTTCCTTTCAACTTGATCTAGGTATAATTGACAAGTGAAATGTGTATGTGTTTAAGGTATACAACTTGATGTTTTGACATACAGGTTTCCCCTGCTATCCAAAAATAGAACCTTCCTGCTGAGTATGATCTGGGAGGTAATTTTTGGACCTGGGAATATTCAAAAGTTTTTCTATATAAATTAATGCAAACAGCTTTCCCAGACCCAAAAAACAAACTACCAAGCCATAGAAATAGGAACATTTTGCTTTTGAATCTCGGGGGGGCACCTGCACATATTACTGTGGAATGATCGCCACACTCAAGCTAGTGAACATATTCCTCACATTGCAGTTTTCCTTTTTTTTCTTGGGTGGTGAGAACAGCTAAGATCTCTCCTACCCTCAGCAAGTTTCAAGTCTGTAATAACATTATTATTAACTATAGTCATAGTCCTGTACATAGCTTGGATTTTAAAAGTGAAGTAAATTTCTATTTCTATCTTGTCTCCGTTAAAGCAGTCAAATCAGTATCTTTTTTTTTTTTTTTTTTTTTTGTGGGACCCTTGCTGGTGGCCGGGGAATGAACCGGCGCTGCAGAGGCTGCACTCTACTGCTGCACCACCAGGGGAAGCCCTCAAATCAGTATCTTAACAAATCAAAGCTGCTTACAAGGTTTCCCCTACTTCTGAGACCACCCCAGGGTCCCAGCACCACTCTCTACATAGCTTTCCTGTTTTGGAGTAATTACAACTTTTCACCTTCCCCCTTCCACTGAGTCCCTAACAGCTAGCTTCTCAAGAACAGGAAGGATAGCTTTATTTTGGATGAATCCACTGTGCTTGGTATAGTCTTGGCAACAGGGCAGACTCTTGATAGATGCCTGTTGACTGGCTCAGTGCCAAGAGTGGATGGGCTGCACGGGGGATGGGAGGGACAGGCAGAATCTATGGGTGTGTGCCGCGGGAAGGTGCAGCAGGTGTGTGTGCACGATCTCTCCGGCCACTATAAGTCATCCCAATCGTTGCTATAGTGTACTCTGTTACCTCCAGTGACCCAGACTACATGGACAAGAACACGTCCTCTGTTAGGATGAACCATTTTAATCTGGTGGTAGCACATAACACTGTACAGGGAGCACCGCTCCAAGAGTTTTCCTCCAGTTTATAAGGAAGTTCTCAGAAATAACTAGATTTGCTATAGCCTGGTCCCCTGCTCATGGGAGAGAGGGAATGGAGTAGGGGAAGCACTTTCTGCTTCCAGGTCACTCGTAGATCCAGCTCTGGGCACAGCTCTTGTAATCTACCAGTTCTTCAGGGTGAAACCACAAGCCAATCTCCTTCTCTGCACTCTCCACAGAATCGCTGCCATGAATGATATTCCTGGATGGGGAAAGAGATGGCCATATTACCAAGACCAGAAGGATGAAATTGCCCAGAAGCCCCTCACTCCCAGGCCCATAGCAGGAGAAAAAGCCAGAACTCCGTGGAGGTTAGTCCTCAACTGCTGTTAATGTAGGGATGAAACATGCCCTCCCCATGTCCAGTGCTGGCAGCTCTGATGCAAGCAAGCGAGAGCCTTCAGGAAGGAGCCTGGCCTGCACGGTGTGTGAGGCGCAATGCTAATATTGATGACTAAAGGTAGACGGCCTGCAACCCCAAATAGCAATGCAAGATGGAGGAAAACAATAAACTCTGATTGAAAATGGATCTGCATAGGGTGTCAGGTTAGCCTCAGAAACCTCAAATTCTTGCGGCACCTAACTCAGAGGTTTAGAAAGAGTGAAAAGCACCAACTCTCACCTGCCAACTTGGATGCAAAAGTCTCCACGAATGGTCCCAGGCTTAGAGTCTGCCGGGTTGGTCTCCCCAAGCATCACTCGGCCCGTCTTCACAACATTCAGGCCCTCCCAGACCTGCGAGGAAGAGGGAGAGAGGGTCAAAGACGAAAACCAGTCTCAGGAGACCTCCCTGGTGGCGCAAAGGGTTAAGCACCACACTATGATGCAATCCGCAGCCTCTGTAGCACAAGTTCCATCCCCAGCCAGCCAGGGAGCAAACCACATGGCGCAGCAGACCTCTCCTGTCTCGCCCACTGCTCCCCTCAGCAGTGTATTTCAGTATATCTGCCTGTTCTGTTCCCCACTCTGTCTCTGGTGAATCCTCTCACCCCCATCTCTGGTCTGTATCCCAGCTCTTGTATGCATAGATAAATAAATCTTTAAAAAAAAAAGAAAAAAGAAAACCAGTCTCAGCAGAAAATGTAAAAACTAGGAATTCAAAAACAGAAAAAAAGCCCCTTTTAAGATGACATTCAAATGTTTGTGGAGCACCTGTTTACTCCGGGAACACAAGGCCCTGGCCTTACTCGCACCTTTCTACCATACATTCCTGACGCAGCAGCCAGAGTGGCCTTTTTGAAACAAGTGCATAACCTCCCATCACTTCTTGAGAAGCATGCGGCCATCACAGCCAGTGCCTCTGATCTTATCTCATCCATTCCACTCTTTCCCACCCCAGGATTCAGTGACTCCAAAGGGTCCCCTCCCTAGGGCCAAGCAAAGGCTGTTTTCTCAGTAGAGCTCTTCACTGTGACTGCACAGCTGGTTCCTTCCAATTCAGGTCTCAGCTTGAAAATCACTTTCCTTGACCACCCAATCTGAAGTGGCACCTAATTCTCAGGCTCTGGAAAAGGGCCACTTGCTATTACATCTTCCTATCTTATTTCTGTGCATTTCACTAATCAAGACCTGACTTTGTACACACACACCCCTTATCTCTCCCACATGAGTCTTCAGTAAGCATATGTATCTTCGGCTCGTCAGAGAGCTGGCTCCCATCCTAACTGTCTATTCCTCCCAACACCCTCTGTATCAGTGAGAACCTGTTCAGAAACAGGAATCACAACACTCACCCTCCGCCCCCAACTGAGTCTTTCATGTCAATATCCCACACAACCACACTCACCATGGCAACCACTGGCCCTGAGTGCATGTATTTCACCAGGCCAGCAAAGAATGGACGGTCCTTCAGGTCAATGTAGTGCTCTTTGAGAAGGTCTTCAGAAGCCTAGTCCACAGGAAAGGGAATGAGAATTGAGCCCAAAACTATCTGAGGACCAGCTGAACAGCTATCTCCCACTCAACCTCCCGCTTTATAAAACTTGAGCTCTGAACTCTCTGATTCTGTTGTCACCCAACTGACTTTTCAACACTATCAGAGGAAGCAGTGATACGAACTAAAAGTATTTTCACTGCATACCAATTTTCACCCTATGGGTCTTATTGATTAGAACATTAGACTCAAACCCAGCTATCTTGTTTTAGAAAGGAAAACTACATATGGTGAATCTCCACACCCAGACAAGCCTCAATTAAAATGTCAGAGTACAGCAAGGGAGGTGGTCTTGGCATTTGAGAAGAGGCAAACTTAAAGCAGGTCATTTTCAGGGATATTTATTCCCATTTATTCAAAAGATAAAGGCCTGGTACAGTGGCCATGCAGTTCCCCCAGGTATCTAAACCACCCAAAAGTCCATGACATCTAACAATACATAATTCTGCTGAAGAACCAATTAGAGTCTCTCGCGCTGCCAGGCTGGTGTGTGGGAAGAGATCAAGCTAGCTAGAGAGCAAACCATCTCCTTTGCAGTTCCTATCTGCTCTGCTGTGCTCTCCCTTTGCCAGGGCAAAGATGCTTGTTAGGGGCCTAACAAGGTCCCTCAGTTTTCTCAGCTCCATGGCACTACATGACACGAGGCACACTGCCACTTAGTGACACACACGTGTGGAGGGTGCTGCAGAGGGGCACATCCTGAGCATCCATCCTCGGCCCTTAGTTGGTGGTCACGTGCCAAGGCAAACTCTCACAGCACGTGACCACTCCATCAATAATTCACCCTCACATCCCATTGGATCCAAGCGGAGGGCTTGGAGGGGAGCCTACTAACACACCCTGGCTTGGCCTTCCCTGACCAGAACACTGTTTTGACTAACTTTAGTCTGCAAAATAGATCAGTCTTTTCTTTCCCCTCAAGTTTACCCTCCTCGCCCTCCTCCCATTTAAATAACCCTGTAGATTCATGGCGGCTCTCCCTCCTCCCATTCTTCACCAAGCGCGTGTCCTTGACAGGAAAGGCAATGTAAAGGAGAAAATGTATACACATAGGGGTCAGTGAGACCCAAATTAAATCCCAGGTGCATCACTAACAGTGGTTTCAAGTATATTACTTAACCTCTCCAAGCCTCTCCAACGTTTAACAATTGACAAAGTACCTCTCAGGGTTGCTGTGAGGATGAGATGAGAAAACGTGCCTGGCAGGTGGTAAATGTCTGATGAACAATACTTTCATTTTACTTTACCTTCAAAACCTAATTAATATGCAAACTGGCAAGCAGTGCTGGCCCAGCACTTGGCTCTACTCCCTCCATCATGTTTGCCCTCAACATTAACATCAGTCTACTCCCTTTCATATTAAGGCAGTTTTTCTAAATCATCACATAGGAACAAAATTGAAAATTGAATTTAAAATTGAATTTAAAATGCATCAGGAGAGTCCAAAGTAGATTCTTTTAGGAAGAAAAAATGATCATCCCCAAATTCATTTGCTTTGAGATTCTGAGTTTGCATTCCCCAGACCTGTTTGAGGAAGGAATATTTGCCAACCGATCTTTTGCATTCTTTTAAATATAGCTTTGTATGAATCTTGCAAGTGTGTCTGTTCTCTGCTGTGCTGCTTCAAGTAGACCACCCCAAGGACAAAATCAGTTTTCCCCCACAGCCCCCAGTGATGTCTAACATGTGCTAGAAATGAAGTGGGTGGTAAATGATGATGTAGCCATTTCCTTGCTGAACAACAATCTGGCTCAAGGGGGAGGGAGGGACTTTTGTAAAATTATCTGCTCAGGAAGCTCAAGATCAACTCAAACATGCCCAAGGCTTTGACTCAGAAATCACCATGCTACAATAATATGTGGAACCCTGCATTGTTAGAGGAAAAGGGAAGCTATTTTTGAAAGTGCCAAATTTATTTTGTTCTGAGATATAGCCACAACGCTAGGTCACTGAGAAGTTTCCAGGTTTCAGGACATTTGTTGTGATCACCCTACATGGAGAAGGCTAAGAGGGAGCGGGGCGGGGTGGGGGGCGGGGGGCGGACAATGTTGTCCAGTACAAAAAAAAAAAAAAGAAATAGGAAGCATCAAGTCCACTTACCTGTATGAATTTCATTGCAACAAGGCGGAATCCCTTCTGCTCAAAACGCTTAATGATTTCCCCTACAAGACCCCGCTGGACCCCATCAGGTTTGATGGCAATGAAGGTACGCTCACAGTTGGCCATGGTCCTGAGGGTACACAGATGAGGGAATGAAACAGCACTGAGTATCCTGCCTATATCATTATCAGTCTCAAGTGGATTACCCCATAAAGCTGGTTTAAATCTGTCAGGTCAACTCCAAGCCTCTTTAGTAAAAACCCAACTTCTGCTCAAGTCCCCTCCTCTATGAACTAATATCCCAGACTAGGGAAGGTTGCAAAAACAGGAGCTAGCATTTCTATCCCACTTGATTTAGTAAGCTTCTATTGTGTATCCTATCTTCGTTAATTATCCAGATGAGGAAAACTACATTGACAATGTGAAAGTGACATCTGGTACAAAGCAATATGAAATATAGTTTTACCTATGGCCATAGTCATGGTATTTGAACTGGAAGGGGTTTAGAGTTTATTTCACTACAACCCCCCTTATTTTACAAATTAACAGATCAAGAGCACAGGAATGAGGAATAAATCCAGATTTCTCAATCCTCTGCAATTTATGCTAACTCATAATAAGTAATGCATATTCTGACTAATCACCAAAAGATGGACTGTGGGAGAACTAGAGGCATTCTAAGTAAGTATCATGACTTAGGACATCACAACGAAAGCCAAGCCTGCAGGGCATCTGGGGACCTTTCCTTTGTCAAAGAAGACTGAGCTCATGACCTGCCCTGTCTCCATAAGATGAAAAAGAACCAGGTCCCTCACCTCGAAAAACAGTTCCTAAGATGAGGAGCAGCACCACCTCCTGGCTTGATCTTCTTATACTTTAATTAACCTCTTATAGCACATTAATGGTACATTTGGATTTTGTGTGTATCTGTCTCACCACTAGTCTATGGTCTGTATAAAGGGGTGGTTTGCTCCTCTGTCTGTCCCTGGTGACTAGCACCAGGGCCTACCACTCAATGAGAGCAAAGAAAATGTCATAAATGATAAAAACTCAGGCTTCCTCCCAGAAAGAGACAAAGCACAAGGACTGGTGGCGCACTCTCACTGGAAGGTCACAAGCATGATTTCCCAGGACAAAATAGGGCTAAGGGGCCAAAACAGTGCCCATAAATGCCCCTCCACACCCACCCGACCACGCACAGCTGTCATTCATTCAGCGGACACTTACTGAGCGCAAACTCTGTCTAGCACTGCACGCGACAGAGACAAAAAAGGCACAAGCCCCGTCGTCGCGGCCTGATGTAAAAGACAGTCACGGACAAAGACAAGCCCACGTGGCGTGGGGCGTGCGCTGGCAGGTCTGCACCTGTCGCCAGGCGCTCCCCGCCCTTCCCTGGGATCCGAACCCCCTCGTCACCTCTCAGAACGGAACTCATGAGCCCTCTTAACCTGGCCAAACCCCAGCCCTCTCCTTTTTTTCTCAGAACCCCAAACCCTTCTTACCCCTCCAGCTGCTGGGGCTCGAACTCAGCCTGCTGCTACCGGCACCGGAAGCCGCCCGGGTCCCCACGTGGTTCCGGCCATGCGCAGGCACGGAACGTTTCTGCCCGGATTGGCTGCCGGGGAGCCCTTTTGGCAGAACACCACTCGCCCGCGCTTCCTCCTGTGAGTCATTGCAGGAGCAACTTTCCGAAGTGTAACTTCCGGCACTGCTTTTTTACTGCTTTTTCCGGCCGGCCGCCTTTTTTTTTTTTTTTTTTTTTTTCTTTAAAAAGTCTGTGATTCACTTCCTTGGATCGCAAGTAAATTGGCTTCCCGAGAGGTGGCGCTCACACTTTACAGGAAGTCTGAGCCAGCGCCTGACCTAGAAGTAAACATGGCCCTCTCGCTTTACACTTACTCATTCCTTGCAGTCTGTCAGCAATAAATTATTGAGTTCCTACTGTGTGCCAGGCACTATTCCAGGCCCCGGAGATCTAGCAGTAGACTCTGCTAGAGCTTCTGGTGGGCTTGGTGCAAACAATAAACAAATGAGCAATTTAATAGATAATATGTCACATTATGTAATTGCTGTTAATAAAAATAAAAAACCGGGGACCTCCCTGGCAGCGCAAGGGGTTAAGTCTCAGCACTATGAAGCTAGCAGCAGAGTTGGATCCCATCCCCAGCCAGGGAGGTGACCCACAAGGCTCAGCAGACCTCTCCTATTTCACCCCCTGCTCCTCTCAGCGGTATATTTCAGTAGGTCAGCTGAAATATACTGGCCAGCGGTTCTGGGTGGGGTGAGAGGATTCACCAGAAACGGAGTGGGGAACAGAACAGGCGATGAACTTCATAGTGTTGCGACTTAACCCCTGCGCCACCAGAAAGGCCCTGGTTTGGTTTCTTAGCACAAGGAGGGTGGCAGACCGTGATCTGATGTGAATTCTAGTCTTGGAGGTTTCAAGCAAAGGATGAAATCCCTTACAAGGATTTCTGGAGAGGAATTTGTCCATGTGCTAATTAAGGTTTACTTTTGGCTTAAAATTCTAGAATTTTAAGACATTTCTCAGGTCACTGTTCTATTCCAAACATTCAATAGTTTTCCATTAACTTCTAGCTCTAAGCTTCTTAGACTAGCATTCAAGACTTATCACTAATCTGGTGGTTTTATCCTCCTGGATGGTGAGGAGATGGGTCTGTTGCTTATCTGGTCATTCTTCTCCAGGTATGTATTGGTTGTCATTTTTGTGCCAGTTTTTTTTTTTTTTTTTTTCTAAATACCGGGGATATGGCTATGAATAAGACAGGTATACGTGTATATGTGCCGTAGTACCTTGCCTACACATCTTGAAAGGGGAGGATGGACAGTTAATTAAGAAAATGGATAATGCCCCATCCTGTATATGGGATATTATATCCTATATGTAAATCATTAAAATCATATATATTAGTAAGGATTAGTGAAATGTTCAGAAATAAAATAGGAAGCTTTGGGGATTGAACAGTGACCTGAGAAACATCTTGAAACTCTCAGAAAAAAAAAAAAAAACTGTTGATGTCATCTAATTCACTCACTTTACAATTAGGTGAAAAGGATGAGCTGGTTTATTCAAGATTATACTGGTACGTGGGAGAGCTAAGCTTTTGACAGTGAAGAATCAAGTCAGTCTGGAGAACACATTGGACAAGGCAAAACTGGAAACAAATAGCCCCATTAGGAGGATGCTGACATCCCCAAAAATCAAGGTATGAGGGTATCAGCTCTTCTGGATTAAAGTATGCAAAAGAATGTTTAGGATAGAATTCCTAGGCTGACACAGTTTGGGAATTGATTATATATAATTAACAAGGGATAGATAGGAATTATATCACAGCCAGAAATAGTGCTTATGAGCATGGGTCTGTTTTCAGAAGATGTGGTTGTGGTTCTTAGCTCAGCTACTTATTAGTTACGTGACCCTGGACAAGTTATTTGACATCATTAAATCTCAGTTTCTACATTTGCTAAGTGGGAATAATAATAGTATGTCATAGGATTGTTGTGAGGGTTATATAAAGTAATTCAATAAAAATTTAACACTGTGTCTGACACATAGTAAATAATAAATGTCAGCTGTTTGGTTGGTTGGTTGTTTTTTATAGCTATGGGTGACAAAATTTTACACCTAAGAAACTGTGACAATAATGATAATGACCAAAGGGAGTCACTTAGAAGATGAGTTTGGTACATGTATCTAACAAAGGGTAATACTAGAGAGAAAATGTACAGTACTTGATGGAAGACTTTCATCTCATGTTCAGGGCTATGGGGAAACATATGGAAATGATCTGCATAAAGATGGTTTATGGTTCTAAAAAGTATTTTTATTTTTTATTTATTTTTAAAGAAGATTTATTTTATTTATTTATGCATAAAGACCTGGGGTATAGGCCAGAGGTGCGGGGAGGGGTGAGAGGATTCACCAGAGACAGAGTGGGGAGCAGGACAGGCAGATCTACCAAAATCCACTGCTGAGGGGAGCAGCAGGCAAGACAGGAGAGGTCTGCTGCGCCATATGTAGGTTAGCTCCCTGGTCAGGGATCAAACTGAGGTGGTGGATGTGATAGCACTGAGACTAACCCCTATATGCCAGCAGGCCCAAATGGGAAACATCTTTTACTTTTTTTAAAGATTTATTTATTTATACAAGAGCTGGGTACGGGCCAGAGTCGCAGGAGGGTGAGAGGATTCACCAGAGACAGAGTGGGGAGCAGAACAGGCAGACGGACTGAAAGCACTGCTGAGGGGAGCAGCAGGCAAGACAGGAGAGGTCTGCCTCACCATGTGGGAATCTCCCTGGCCGGCCGGGAATCGAACACGCGCTGCAGAGGCTACAAACAACTTCACAGTGTAGCGCTCAACCCGCTGTGCCACTGGGGAGGCCCGGGAAACATTTTTTAATACAAGAATAGAAATAAGGTCTCTGTGGTGGCGCAGGGTTAAAGTGCCAGCCACTGCGGCACGCGTTCCATCCCCAGCCAGGGAGTTAACCCACATGGTGCAGCAGACCTCTCCTGTCTCGCCCACTGCTCCCCTCAGCAGTGGATTTCAGTCAGTCTGCCTGTTCTGCTCCCCACTCTGTCTCTGGTGAATCCCCTCACCCCAACAACTCTGGCCTATACCCCAGTTCTTGTATGCATAAATAAAAATAAAATCTTTTTTTTTTAAAAAGAGTAGAAATAGAATTCCAGAGGAGAAAAAAGAGAGGAGGCAGAAGCAGGATTCAAGCCCTGTGTGCAGTGCCAATCCTGAGCTCGGAGCCACATGTGTGCTGCTGCTTTCTTCTATGATCTCTCTTAATGGGGCTCCAGGCTCCCTTCTGTGATCTCACTTCACAGGGGTGATCCCTCTGGGGTGAAAAGAAATTGTAATTCAAGACCAGCCAGATAGTTTTAGCACTAATACTGTGTGAGGGGTGGAATCGATTCAGGCTGTGACTGTCCTGTTATTAATGATTCAAGGAATCAGAAAGCAAATGCATTATACCACATGTGAGAACCAGAAAGGCATCTGGGGATGCAGGGCAAAGAGAGAACATTCATAACTCTAATTGGGAATGAGCCCCAGGGACTCTTCCCTGCTCATAATCAAGAATGAAGAATAACCCTCCCACCTCTGACACCAGAGTTGTGCTACAGATCAAACAGCAGGCTCACTCAGTGAAGGTAATTGAGTGTTTTACAAAACCTGCACACAGGCTATCTGTCTGCTTGTGGCTCTAGACTATGCATAGGAAGCCACCTCAGTCTTCTGAGAGGCCCTCATCCCTGAAGGTGGTAGGGGAATTTGTTGACAAGATTGCATTATTTGCTGGTTGGTGAAGGAATTCGTGAGACTCCGTGTATAGTCTGGTACGACAACCATTGGAGGGGGCAGTCTTCTCACTCCTATTTTACAGCCTTGGAGTTGGAGGAGAGGAAGGTTACATGATTACCCCAAGGCCAGGATACTAGTAAGTGGCAGAACCTGCTGTGAATCCATCTTCCTCTTACTCCAGAGTGCACATGTATAACGTCCACACTATGTATGCACCGTAGACTAGAATGGTCCCAGAATCATAGACTTTCCTTGTCCAGTTGATGCAGTGGACAGGACAGGTCTTTCTTCCTGCCCCATCAGATAAGCATTTTTATCTGTTCCATTTTTTTTAAAGATTTATTCACTTATGCATATAAGAGCTGTAGTACATGCCAGAGATGTGGGGAGGGGTGGTGAGAGGATTCACCAGAGAGAGAGTGGGGAACAGAACAGGCAGACTGACTGAAATACACTGCTGAGGGGAGCAGCGGGCAAGACAGGAGAGGTCTGCCGTGCCATGTGAGTAGCTCTCTGGCCGGCCAGAGATCGAACTCGTGCTGCAGAGGCTGCGGATTGCTTCATAGTGCAGTACTTAACCCCTTGCGCCACCAGGGAGTCCCTCCTATCTGTTGCATTTAACAAGTTTGTCTTCTTGCATTCTAAGGATAAGGAAAGATGTCCCTAAGAGGATAATAAGGAAGTTAAACATGTAAGGAAGTTAAACATCAGGTGTTAACAAAGAAAGCTGGCACCTGCCTGAAATCTCTCTGTGCCTGCATCAAAAGGACATGCCGGGCCTCCCCGGTGGCACAGCGGTTGAGCGCTGGGTTGCGAAGCTGCCCGCGGCCTCTGCCTCTGCGGCGCCAGTTCGATCTCCGGCTGCTTCCCGCCACCGGAGGAGGGTCCCGCATGGCGTGCAGACCTCTCCTGCCGCCCGCTGCTCCCCTCAGCAGTGTACTTCGGTCCCCCTGCCTGTTCTGATCCCCGCTCTGGCTCTGGTGAATTCTCTCACCCTCCCGCGCTTCTGACTGTACCCAGTGCATGTATAAACAAACAAACAAAGAAAGAAAGAAAGAAAATGCCTCTATAAAAAAAAAAAAAAAAAAAAGGACATGCCGACCCTTGCCCATCTCCCTTTTGTTTTACTCCTTTGTGCCAAAACCCCTGCCCTCTGCCAAAGAGTAGGACAGCGGTCTTTCAGACATGAGTCTGCTGCCCTCCTCAGTTAGTGGACAAATTAAA